GCACCGTGGTGACCTTTACTACCTTGTTGCATTGGTCTCCTCCACCATTGTGGTAGCAAGAATCCGCCATCTTTAGCCTTTATGAATTTGTACCTACAAAACAATTAACACCTTCGATCGAAAATCAAAACCTCACCCCCACGTGGTGGGGAGGGGTTTGGCCAATGGATCTCCGATGCCTAAGTCAGTAACTCTGAAAAGATTGAAAGTTTAGGGCTTGTATGCTTGGCATAAAGCTTACCAGTAAATGGTGGAGATGAGGTATTTATAGGAGGTCGTCAGATATGGGTGTAAGGTTTGCCCTACACATGGCAGCTTCCGAGTGGCCAAGGTGAGTCAACCAGATGGATGAGGAAGGAATAATTCTAAAATATTAATTAGGAGATAATATCTTGGAATTATCAAGTAAGTATCCTTGATTGATTATCATGAAGATTCTTATTTGTTTGAGTTGTTCTCCAATCAAGAATATATTAAAGATGGGATTTGGTGATTAACCCAATCTTTAATACTTTTAATTTTTCCATGCCACAAGCAAAAGAGCTTGATGGTGTCATAGGTAGTTGTTCGAGCCTCCACAGATGTTGAACTGGGCGTGGGAACATTTGCGTCTCTTGCCATATAATAAGGCATTCTTGTCTTCTTTGGAAAAAAGTCCACATGTCGTATTCAGGATTTCGTGATTATTTTTTGCTCCACAACCACTGCCCATTCCTGAAATTTTGTCTGCCATCTCCTCACCACCTCAGCTGAACTTTGGCAACGATGCCTAGGTCACTCTTCTTCTACCCATCTAGAAATATTAGCTAGCACATTTTTAAATTGTTCTTTTGATTCGGGTCTAATTCGTGAAGTTTGACTGTTAGCGAAACAAACTCGCCAATCTTTTGGTACTAGTTCTATTTCAGCATCGAGTTCTTTTTTCCTTTTGCATTATGACATTTAGGGTCCTAATAAACATCCCTCTCTTATTGAGGCTTATTATTTTTTTTTATCCGTAGTTGATGATTTTTTTTTTATTTAGTTGGGTTTTTCTTATGCATTATAAACATGAAACACAAAATAACAGGGAGAATTATTTTCTATGTGGGATTTCTTTGCCAAACAAAAGTTGATTTTTTCGATTTAGTTGGATTTTTTTACTTACTTTGAAACACAATTCCAAACAAAAGTCCAACAAATACGAGTCGATAATGGAAAAAATTATTTTCTATGTGGGATTTCTTTCCCGCTCATGTGTCGTTTACCAACACACGTGTATCTACACACCACAACAAAATGGTGTTGTAAAAGGAAAACATCGCCATCTTCTTGAGGTAGCTAGAGCCCTCTGTTTTCAATCCAATCTACCACTTAAATTTTGGAGAATGTGTTCTTACAGTCGCTTAGCTTATAAATTGTATCCCTACACCCTTACTCCACAAACAACCTCCTTTTGAAGTCGTCTACAAAAAGCCACCTTCCTACCACTACATGCAAGTTTTTGGTTGTCTCGCTTATGCCACATCCATTTATCCAACATCCAAATTCCCGCGCACACAAATGCCTTTTCATAGGTTACCCCATTGATCAAAAGGCTTACAAACTTTACGACCTTAAAACCCATAAGACACTAGTCGAGATGTCACCTTCCTTAAGGACACCTTTACTTTTCTTGCCTCACCTTCTGAACCATCCACCAATACCTCCATTCCTCAAATCACTCCAAATACCTCATGACCGACCCTCCCAACATCACTTGAAACCCACCAATTTTCATATCACCTCCGGACCCACCACTACCCCCAATACATATCACCTCCAGACATTTTGAGGAGACAACTTTGATTTGATTTGTGGAAGGAGGACAACCGTTGTCATTGTTCAGAGTGCGACTGTGAAAGAGTAGACAGCCATGGCTTCCATGTTAAAGGAACACAACAGGAAACAAAAAAAAGAAAATAGAGCTAGAATTTTACAACCTGCTCTAATACCATGTTAAAAAATGTATTTGGCTCAACTTAACTTTCGTTCATCCCTAAATGTACAATATATAGTAAATACAAATACATACTATTTACTCTTTCATATAAGAACCTAATGTAGAAGAGTCAATGAACCTATGTATAGGTTTCATGCGCCTAATTGTTCAATGAACCAATTAACATTTCCCTTTAAGTTGGATAGAAATTGCTTTAACGTATTTCTGCAAACGATGGCTCAAGCCACTTTTGTAGGAGAAGAGAGGCTTTTAACAATGACGATATTTTATAATTAAGTTGTGCAATTTATCAACATGATATATTATTATCCAATGTATAAGAAACATTTCACTCTTCACTTTCTTGTGTATTTACTAATGCGGAGACATAAATTAACCATAACCAATCAGAGCATGTCACGTGGATTAAGAGCTTAATATAACAAAGTTACCCCTGATGGTATGAGCAAACCACAATCTCAATCCTAATGGTCAAGCAATCTAGCCCACTAAAGAATGGCGAGAACTCACAATTATCAAGCACCAAGGCCTAAATCATTTGCCAAGCTCTCTAGCAGATTATTTAGATCACATTTCAACATCGGTAGTATCTATGAGAAAATAAGATTTTAAATATCCTAACCTCACTTCAACTAATGTCGAGATATTTTGTGATAAAACCTCACACCTGACGGATTGTGCAGGCGATAATTACCAAGTTGGGGACAATATCGGTATTGTTGGAAGCAAGCCTTCCGCCCGTTTTCTGATAATTTCACATGGTATCAGAGTTAGGGAACAGGCCCGTATTGCCACATGATGGGTGGATCCACTTGGGCCCATGCGATGATGGTGGGTCCCTTGACCCCGTGTGTAGGGTAAGTCTCTTTGGCTCCACGTGATTGTCAATATGTAGATCTCTCATATGTGACCCACGAAGGGGAGCGTATTGAAATATCTCACAATCGAATCTCTCGGAAAAGAAGAGTTTAAATATTCTAACCCCACTTCAACTAATACCAAGACCTTTTGTGATAAAACTCTACACCTAACGGATTATGCAGGTAGTAATTACCAAGTTAGAGACAATATCAGTATTGTTAGAAGTGAATCTTCGACCCGTCTCTCTGATAATTTCACATGATATCACCATTTCCCTTTTAGAAGTATTGGTCAACTACCCCACCACAACTTTGCCCCAAAGCACACGAGCATACATGGAGGTTCCTTAGAGACCCAAATAAGAGAACATGCTTTCGTACCTGACTTCATGTTTTAAGACTAGCTATTACGTACCCGAGTTTAGGATCAGACCCGAACCTTCATACATCTTATCAGGCATCCCCAAAGGAACACTCTTCCGCCAATAGGACGACTACTGCACTCGTCGGCATGCGTACCCTAGCCTAGTAGATGACAAATGGACTTCTTCCTTATCAATAGTCGTTGAAGGAAACAGGTAACCGAGAACTAAATTATGAACTCATGTTTCCTTTTCTCTGAAACCTCTGTTTAGTCCATTGATCTTTCTATGTTATCTTTTTGGTAAGTTTTCTTGTCAATATGTTTTGAACAAAAATTTATATCCACAACACATGTGAAATCGGAAAACTATAATATTTTCCTTGACATAAACGAGTACCTAAACTTCATGACAACTTGGAGGCCAATTGACATGATTCTTTTTCCTTACTTCCCTATTTGTAAGTTCTTTGATTTCTTCTTGAACCTATTTATACTAAGTACACAAGCTTTAAGTCCAATATTTCATTTACAAGTGATGAGGAATTGTCACTACACAGTGATACCAATAAACATTACACTTTCTTTTGAGTAAATTAAAAAGGAGTAATTGTTGTTTACCCTCTAAACTATCACCAAATTATCAGTTTACTCCTCAACTAATTCTTTAGCCAATTTGCCAATTTTTACCTTCATTCAATTTTTTATTAAACAGTGTGGCATGCCAAGTACGGGTGCAATTTGAGTTGGGTCAACCCGAATTCATCCATGTCCAATCTGATTTCATAATCAATCAGGCCGATTAAAATAAAGTAAAAACTCGTTTAAACCCAACCCAACCTCAACCCGATTACTATTAGGTTGAGTTGGGTGATGCTCTGCCCACTAATGAACCAAACTCAACCTGGTTTCTAGTCCGAATTGCTCATGCATATATTACTCATCCCACTTCATAATATATAAGTTAGGTGCAAGTTTGGGAGGGCTATACTTGAAGTTTGCTGTTTGATTTTCATTTGAACAATAAATGATAGTGTTGCTTTTACATTTCTTTTGGTTGAAAATTTGGTATTGTCTTGTAACTTAATTTCAACTTTACAATGACATCACACGCTATTTGGTTTATCTTTTGTATGGATGATGATGTGTAAAATTGAATTTTAAGTCATTTTGATATTATTTGGTTCAGAATTTGAAATTTATCTTATACAATAATGTTTTACAAGATTGACCTTTATATGAGCAAATCTAAAAACCGAGTAAGCTTGAACTCAATTTAAACCTGAACCTAAATAAACTCACATGAATCCGAACTCAACCCAAACCCGAATTAGAAATGTTGGGTTAGGGTTTGGTTGAGCTTCTTTCCATTGAATAATGACACATTGGCATCTTGGTGTTGAATAATGACATCATCACCTAGGCTAAACCTCGTCCGAATAAATTGAGAGCAACTTAGATGGACCGGCTACACCTGGCATCCAGTTCAATAACACAATACCACAGCTGCTTTTCGTCTACTTTGATATTTTTCCATCACTTCATCTGAATCCTACCCTGCCCCCACGACGATTGACCCAAAGCCTTCTCAAATTAAACTAAAAACTTAGAGCCAGGGCCTGATGTTTGTAATCCGCACTGCAACCTTACAAATCATCTTTGGAACATAAGCATAGTCATCCATCTCATATTTTCCTAAGGAACCAAACATACGCTCAAATTACTACCTCTGCAACTTAACTGGGAATTAAGTAATCCTACGAAATCTATATATACAACATATCAAAGTTACAGTAAGTACGGCAATCTTAAACTTTTATTATGAACCTTATTACGCAAAGATTCACGGCATGCCAAGAGTAAACAAGTTTATTGTCTTATACACCAAGGTGGATACTGGAGTTTAAAACATGTTCTTATGTATGGAGTACAGTTCCTCTACTGCAGCTTTCCCGGTCCTGAATGTAGCTGGAGTGTCCTGCTTGGTACAACCTGAAGGACCCCAGGTAGCTCTGCCAATATCGAGTAGACAACAAAACAATTGAGTATTTATTTCTAATAATCCGAAACTGGCTAGTTTACCGGACTCATAACTTGCATAAAATATCTATTGCTGTAATTCAATAATCAGTAAAATGCCAAAAAGTGTGCATAATTGAGAAATGGCTTTGTCTAAAATGGTTTTCCTCTTCAATTGTAAGTGAGAGGTCTTAGGGTCGATTCTCGCCGAAGGACGAATTTGAACCACATTATTGCTAGCCCATTGTGAGGCTTAGCCCACTCCATTACCCCCTTAGTGTAGATAATATCGTTTGTTCAAAAAAAATAGGTTTTTTCTCTTTTGTTTTCTGTTTATTTTTTGAAGGAGAAACGACTTCAACTCACTTTTGCAATGCACAAGCCTTAAAGTTTTCCTAGCATTAATCAACAAATTACTCATATACATTCATCATCTGCCATAGTAAATAGATGAAATACCAAATTTGACCTAAAATGTGAAAAGCGAATTCATATCAATGCCAGCCTAGAGATATAAACAAAATGCCATGACACTTTACCATATGAAAGCCTATGCAACATTTGTCATGTGTTTAATGGTAATAATACACAACAAAAAACAATAACAACAACAAGAAAAGGGATACAGTGCCAGCCATCAGTACTGAGCATGACCAAGAAGCATTGTACAGCCTAAGTTAAGCAAAAGTAAACTCTAATAATGTGAATCAACAAGGAAACAGCAGGTGTTTTACCAATTGGATACTCGTAGGGGAAACAATAGTAGTATAAAACTTCTTTTATAAAGATAACATATAAAAAATTACATAAGCTAACTTTGAATCGTTTAGAAGTTAGAACCACAAAGACTCTTAATCAACAACAGGATAAGAGGATTATAGAGATTATATAACCAATGACAAACAGTAAAAACATGATTTGAGGTTTTATTTATTTTATTTCCTCAAGTTCGGGTATGCCAAATTTAGCATATTATGAATTTCACGGGCGTGAAACTTTGGAGTGTGTGAGGGACTTTGAAGTTTCATGGAACCTAGGCTAAATTTGTCAGGAACTGCACAACAAAACTTAGAGGAGGGACTAAAAGATGACTAGATATAATCAATACATTTGAGAGATTGCTCAAATGACTCCATGAAAGGTCATTTTGAAAGCCCCTGTTAAGTGTCTTTGTAGCGCATTTGTAGTGTTTTAGTAGTAGCTTTGTGGTGTTTGACTAGTTCACTAGTAGTGTTCTCGTAGTGCATTTTTAAGAATTTAGTCAATGTTCCTTGGGACTTTGGTCTAAACATAGGGTTAAAGTCCACATGGAATAAGGACCTAGTAGTGTGAGCAAAACTGAAACTTAATGCCTTGTTTGGTATAGAGCATTGAATTGGAATGAATAAGAAATTCTTTTCAAAGTATATTGAAGGAAGAAATGAAAAAATAGTGACCAACTTAAACGTAGCAGAGGGATTACTCAAGAAGAAAACTTATCGGTCCCAATCCTCCCCAAAACGGTAGGATTAGAGGGTTTTCGATTCCAATCTCCTATACCAAATTAGTCCTAAGCATTCTGAACATGCCAGAAAGTGATAACAATAAACAAGCAAAGAATACCCACTACTGTAGAAACAGATGCGGTCGGGGGTCCAAAACAAAGCTGAAAGAAACCCACAGAGGCTAACCTATCAATCACCACACGCCCAATTCCCCAGTAGAAAGAATCGATACGCTACCGGGAACTGAGAGATCAACTTTAAAAATCGACTCCTTAAGCTTGAAACATTCATAGTAACCATGTGAAAGAGGAGTACAAGGGATGGGATAAATAAACAACATTTGCCAGGAAAACCTTCATCATCAACACTACAAAAAAAAAGGGGAGAGAGAGAGAGAGAGAACTAACTTGAAATTTGGTCGACCTGCTGAGGAGTGAGCTTAGCGGAGAATCCACTGGCAGCCGTCTTGTAACTGTATACAAGAGCCTCCCTCGCTGCCTCCTCACTGTATGTATAAATGTATGCATATCACAAATTCACACAAATTCATTTTTCTTTGGTTTTCCCAGGAAACAAACAGTAGATAAAGGATTGAGAGAGAAACCTGCCGAGGACGGTGGCTAGGGTTCGGATGTGGTAGGACTCAGGCTCCTCATTTTCGAGAGGGCGCTCGGTGTAAATGATGTGGACCGCTGTTTCGGAAGAAGCAGCAGCGACGGATTTGGGAGCAGATTCGTCGGCCATAGCGAATACAGAGAGATGATGAGATTCAGAAGCAAAATTGAAGACAGGAAAGCCTTGGAGCTTATCATTCCTTTTTATACAATTAAATCACAATTTCAATTTGGCAAAATTCCTTATGGCAATTTAGGATATGACTTAGCTGCTAAGATATCCGCGTGTGTTTGGTAACTCCGTCTCTTTCTTTGGCTTTTCTGCCTTGCCTAGTTGTCTTTGCCTCTTTGGCCTGCACCTTGGAAGTTGGAAATGGAACCTTCTTCCTTATCCTTTCTTTCCCTTTTTTTTGTTTACTTTCTATTTTATTTCCTTTGCTTGAGTTTTCTCCAATGCACTTCAAAATTACACATCTAAGGTTATCTCCAACCGATCTGGTCAAAAGATTTTAGTGTTAAAAATAGCTCGAAATAATACGAAAACCGTCTTCAACCGAAGACTAAGTCAAACGGCTCATGGGCCCCATCAGGCCAAAAATGGAAAAACAAGCCAACAGGCTAGCCAAGAGCAACCAGCCAGCCCCGGGCCGGCCCAATTGTTTGAATGCAATGGCTAGCTAGCGTCATGCTGACCCCTGGTTACCACTGCATTTGAATTTTTTCTTTTCAGACAAATTAAAAAAAAATTAATTTTTTTCCTATAAATACCTAAGTTATTCCTACACCATTTCTCACATAATTTTCATCATTCCATATTATCTAACCTCATTTTATTTCAATTATTCACATTCTATTCTCTTATCTCTTCCAATAATCTTTCCTCCAAATTTTTTCAATAATTTTCAAACGGCCACATCTGCACTGAAATGTTGGGCTTAGACCCGAAAAGAAGATAAAGCTCTTTGCAGGGCTTATGGATGGGGCTCGGAAGATAGTGTGAAGGGGAGTCCTCAAACAAGTGAAGGTGTTTGGACTTGTACGTTCAAAAAGTATTATGAGTTATACGAAGGCACCACTCCACCAAATTTCCGAAACCACGAGAGTTGTTCTTCAACATGGAAAAACCATCTTGATCCAAGTTTGAATAAATGGCATCAAGCAGTGGTAAAGCCCGGAAGCAAACATAAAAACGGAGCCAATTACTATGACGAAGTAAGTGTTTTCACAAGTTATTTTAAATATTTAATTATATTACATTTAATTTCATAAATTAATTTCCTTTAATTTTGTAATTATATTTTCTAGGTACGCCAAGTGGAGGAATTATATATGGAGGACAACTCGAAACCATTTAGTCATCACGGTTGTTGGAAAATTTGTAAAGGGTGAGTGTTATTTCAAGATCCACCTCAAGAAAGATTTGGTCATACACTATTGTTCGGAAATGTTTCCTCAAATGTAGTTGGGAATGAACAAGGATCTCCTACCATTCAATGAAATAAGGGTAGAAAATCGGTCTCTAGGTGAATCTTCCATACCGAGGGCTACGGGACAAAACAAGGCCCGAAAGTTGAAGGAAAAGAGCAAGGCAAAGGATGATTTAGCCTTTCAACAGGAAATGGTGTCCTCATTGCAAATAATGGCAGAGCAAAATGCCCTTGCCGTGGAAGAAAGGAACTGTAGGCATGAAGAACTGGCAAAACAAATACAAGAAGAGATGGATGATAGGAACATGCAAATGAACACTTCGGATTACACTCAAATGAGTAAGGCATATTTTGATAGGAAAAAGAGGGAAATTATGGCCTGACGAGAGTTGTTTACATCCGACAATACTCCTACAATGGCGGATGAAGATGATGATTATAGTCTTTAAATTGAAGTTGTTGTAGTCTTTAATCTTTAAGTTGTAGTTTTTAAATTTAAGTTGTTGTAGTCTTTAAATTGAAGTTGTAGTCTTTAAATTTAAGATGTAGGTTTTAAAATGAAGTATGGTAATTAGGTTTTAAAATGAAGTATGGTAATTTTTAATTTAAGTAATCATATTGATTCAATTAAAATAATAAATTATGTTTGACTTATGGCCCTTTGGCCCCCTCGGTTGGAGATGGTTTTTTTGTCACAGGGCTATGTTTGGCCTATGGCCCTTTGGCCCCCTCGGTTGGAGATGGTATAAAATATGGCATGGCACTGTCATTAAAATATAATTTGTTGGAGGGCTATAGGACTAAAGGGAGCCCTCTAGGCCTCCTTCGGTTGAAGATGGCATAAGTTAAACAAGAGTCATTAGATCCTATTTGATTATTTGATCTAACGACGCTTATTCTGATGTGTAACTTAAACGTACGTTTTTTTCAATGGCATAACCTTCCACAAGGCCAAGGTGGGCTATAGCCTAGGGAGGTTTTCTGTAAAGGTAGTGTTATCCATGCACTCATTTTTACTTCTCACACACCCTCTCAATTTTCGGTTGTTCAAATCAAACAAATTGAAGATGATCACTGACAAAAAATTAATAAGGTTGTGTTGAAGGTAAAAATGGGTTGTGAATAGTAGCTATTCTTTTGTAAACTCATGCTTATAGCCTACTCAATTTCAGGACAGATTATTATGTAATGTATATTTAGTAGAGGATAGGTAGTAAATAATACATTTTATGCTAAAAATTACAAATTAGTTGTCACGTCCCGATCCCGACATAAGCCCAGGATCGACACGTGATGTCTCCCAAATACTCGTTTATCTCACATATCCCATCTCAGGAATGTGGCAATCACAATTCGAGAATCAAATTGCAAGAAATTTTTCGTTTACTTTATGGCTGCATCTAACCTCGTCATTAGACTGCTTATGTACCCTCAATAGGGATCAAGCCATTCTTAGTTCACTATCACAAAATTAGACGTTTATTCCACTAAGTTCAAGCAGAAAGGCACTAGTATTTCTCAATCATTCAATATAATCTGACAACATGTAATTCTTGGACTCAGGCTACATAACCAATCCCCATGAAAACATGATTCCTCTCCCATCCAACATATAAATCATTATGTCTCATCATGATATTGCAATTCACAACACACATCATATTTAAGAACCGACAAAACACAAAACGATTCTCTAGCCGCATTAATTAATTAATTTTATCAAAGTAATAACATTCTCATATCTTCTAAATTCACACCTTATGAAATCATAATCAAATCATAGAAATTCCTGAAGGAGTCGCTCAGACGTCCAACATCTTTTCTAACTCAATTCACAAGACTCTCGAAACCATTGACACAAATATATATATATATATATATAAACTAAGGCTAGAGTGACACAGCTAGGTCAAGCCTACTTCTCAAAACAATGGGATTTTAGGCCACTCCACGAAATTCAACAACCTCGGGTTCCGGACCACTCAACGGAACCAAACCAAATATGATCACTTAAAAATGTACCATGTACAACTAGTCATCATCACCTCTAGAATGCGTGTGGTCCCCCATCGCGGATATACTAAGCAGGACCATAGGCATAAACTCATCGTGTAGGTAGTATCACCTATCGCGGATATACCAAGTATGATCACCCCTAAATACATATGGTCCCCCCATCGCGAATATACCAAGCAAGACCCATCCATGTACCACAACTATGTGGTGCAATCTCATCATCACACATTAAACATATTTATACGCATACATGCTATCGATTCCACCTATCAACTAGCATCAAGTCAGATGGAGCACAACACAAGGAATTCCCTTAATTACTATTCCTACTAACAATCTAATAAAATACCTAACTCATCTCCTGACTTCCATCTCCATCTCATGCTAGGTAATAGTGCCAAGTTCAAATAAGTATTCAGTTGGCAAGCATATCCAAATAATTATCAAACAATAATTTGCTCCCATAATTGTCATAAAATTCATCATAATTATCATTCACATTATTAAAAAGTTAATCTAACACATATATATCACAAACATCATCAATACACAAGCCAATTCATAGTTAATTAGCATAGGTCTATGGCTAAATATATCACAAATGATACTAATATAAGAAATGAGGATAATAATCATATTTCATATATTCAAGTTGCTAACAAACCAATATAAGCCTACTAGAGTTTCACTAGTAATTCCCTAAGGTTCGTAACCCCTATCTACAGTAGCATACTAAAATTTGGTGTCAATTCAATGGTAAGATCATCAATTGTTAGAATATTCGAGTGGCGGACTTTATCGAAAATATACTCAACCAACAGCATTTCATAAATTGAATGCTACATATCGGAAAATTCGACTTTTTCCAAAATTCTCAAATTTCATAAGAATGAAGATCTCAACAAGTAGAGTAAACTTTATACTTGCGGCCAAGGCCAATTTGACCGGAAAACACCCCTAACTAGCCACGAACCGCCGGAACCCTAAGGTGGGTGTTCTTCAATTCGGCTTCCTTGGTGTTCCAATGCCCCTACAACTAATTGGGTCTTGCTCCTGGGTCCAAAAGAAGTTGATCAAGGGTGATGGTGAATGGTGACACTCACCGGAACGACGAATCACCGTTGAGAACCCATGGGTTCTCCGGTGGAGTTTTACCCGAATTAGACCTTAAAAACCCTTATTTTTTTGTGGAGATAGAAGGAGGAAGGTAGTTGAGCGGGTTGCAGGCGAAGGAGATAAGAAAATCAATTGAGAAATGGTAGAAATTGGCCTAAAGTTGGCCAGTTTGAAAAATGGCTAGTGGAGTACACGGGTTCAAAAAGTGGGGGAAAGAAAATGTCAACCTCCCCCTATTGGTCCTTTCTCATCCTCTAATAATCTGATTGGTCCCCCTTCACTTAACCTTTAACCCACATGTGGGAATTAAATAATTTCCACAATCTATAGTTCATAACTTCAAACATCCGTAACCATACCGTTATAATTTGGACTCGTAAACGGCTTTCGCCTATGCATTCGTGGGTTCGAGATCTATTCAACAATATAAATTGTGACCTCGAAAGGTCTACGGATTTTAAATAATTAATCTCCAAACTTCAAACTTTGTAACTAATTTAATTGAAATCTAATTTCAAATAAATCAATATAAATTCTCGAAAAATAATATAAAATCTCAATAATACAAATACGTAGATTATAACAATGAAATCCGAGAACGGGATTTCACATTAGTTCTATCTCCAATCCCCCTTTATCCTGTTCTTTTAAAAAAATATCATTTACCCTATTTAATTTAGCCTATGTGCTTCTTACTCAAGAAAAGAAAATTAATTTTTTTAAATCCACAATTAAATCACTATCTCTGCAATTAATTCCTTACTTTCAGTTGCGATTTTCCAATGAATGTCACCTTTGGTACATTC